CAGTGAGCAGGGACACTGCTAACTAGATCAGGCTGCTCAGAGCCCCGTCCAACCTGGCCTTGAATGTTCCCAGGAATGGGGCCTCCACTACCTCTCTGGGCAACCTGTTCCAGTGTTTTACCACCCTCATTGTAAAGAACTTCTTCCTTAGATCTAGTCTAAACCTACCCTGGTTTAGTTTGTTGTTGTTGTTGTTTGTGTGTGAAGACCAGCAGCCCTGGGGTGGGCTGAGTAAGGGTAGGCACAGGGCAGTAAACTGTACCTCAGTGTGACTGCCCTTGCGATCGTAACGGTTTCAGCAGATGTTTCAATTTGCTCTGCTTTGTAGAGAAGCAAGATTTACGTGATGCTTGTGAGCCCGCATCAATTTGCCCTCCCTCTTTCCAAAACTTGGCCTGTTGGCAGGTTGCAAAGGAAACAACAGATGCAGAGGTTTTATTAGGTTCCTGACAGGTTTTGTGGAAAACGGTGACTGCATAGAGAGGCTTATTAAAATTCCTGCTAAAGGTTATAGTGTGGTAATATTTGTTATCACAGAATCTGTTTAACAGCTGTATTTCAAGAGAAATCCGACAAAGCCAACCTCAGTCCAGCTGCTTGCACAACTCCATCAACAGGAAGGATTCGTGTTGGCAATTTATCCATGCAATGATGCAGTTTTTGTGGCTGTATCATTGTAAAAGAGTCTGTTTAAAATCGAAATGAATTTTGGTGCTTCAGGAAGTTCCTTTCTGTGTGTGTTTTGACAACGTGTTTATGTCCATTCTGTGCCCTCAGCACCTGTCTAGTGTTAAGAATGGAAGCACAGTGTGCAGAATTTATGTTACTTGGATGACTACCTACCTAACATTTCCTTTCCTAAACATTTTAATTTTGACTCTGAAAAGAAATAATCTGTAGTCTTCAATAGGTTGTACTGATAACTCCATTTTAAAGTCATATGTTTTACAATGTTTCCTTGGAGGGATTTATTCCTTCACTAAAATTACATCTTGAGCTCAAAAGTTTTTAACTGGGTGCCTTGTTTATGTCCAAATTCTTATTCTAGGTGAACTCTTGTGAAACATAATTTTGTATCCTCTTTTAAAAGAGCTTAAATGAGTTGATGCTTCTGAAGCATGCCTACAGACATGCTGTTGGGGTCTGCCTGTAACAGCCTAAACTTCTCACATCAAGATTTTTGCCACTCAAGCTGACACTGAGTAGGGGCGCTCTGCCTTACAGCTTTTCAGTTATCTTCATAGTCATGTTTTTGTTGATAGTGGTTTTTACAAAACAGTGCTGTAGGAAGCACTGGTTCATCTTGTAAGGCTAATTTTATATCGGGTAGTACGGTTTAAGAAAGCAGAATTTTTTTTTTTACTATGCAATAATAGCATATTTAAAGATACAGGTCACTACTAAGTAGTTCAAGATACTAGTTGCAGCTCAGAAGAGTTTGTCTGGGAAGCTTCATCATGTGGATAGCATTGGTTTTGCTTATTGTTACAGAAAACATAACACAATCAGTGCTTCCTTAAAGGAAATACTGTAATTTGTTAAACTAAATGAATCTGTCCACTAGGTGTCCGTAGTTCCAAGTAGGATGAAGCTTGAAAGGATGGTACATGATGAAGCTTCAAAGTAACTAATATTTGTTGTGACTACAACAACTGCTTCTTAATGTTTCTCTTGCATAGTGTTTTCAAATTACATTCAGTATTTTGTTTCATGTTGACCCCAAATGCAGTTTTGCTATTTCTTTGAGCCTATTTTACATATTTATTTCTCTCTTACCTTCCAAACAACATAAAGAATAAAATATTTGTTCTGCCAACTTCACAGGACTTATTTCTAACCCTGTATCATGTCTGCAATTGCAGTTTTGCAAAAAATACTGGGGTTAAGTGGATTGGGGAAGTGAAAAGCTATCATTTGAGCTGTTCAGAGCTACATAGTAACGTTCTAGAGTTCTGTTGTTCATATCTCTGTTTTTCTTTTTTGTTGTTTTGCTGTTGTTTTAAGGGTTCTAAGTCTGGAATTAAATACAGATAGAGATGTGGAAAGAATACATGAGACTGGTATCAACACCCTTGATATTGAGCCTGTTGAGGGAAGATAGTAAGTATATACTTCAGCTGGTAAAATGTATATGAAAACTTCACTGTGTTTTGGCACTATGGATTTATTTTCTTGCTGAACACTCAATTGTATTGAGCATATTGAGATCTTGAGTGTTATAACTTGTGTGCTTTATTAACACTTTCAGCATGTTATCCGGTGGGTCAGATGGTGTTATTGTACTTTACGACCTTGAAAACTTGAGCAGAAAACCAAGTTACACATGTAAAGCTCTTTGTTCTGTGGGAAGGTAGGTACTCAAAAATACTATTAAAAGTTCATATTGATGTCTCTTGTGTGACTACCATTAAAGTCACAAATTAATGTGTGTTCTTATATGTAGAATAAAAAGATTGTATAAAATAGTGCCAGAAATCTTTGAAGGCTAGTATGATGCATATTGGAATGCAAAAAAAGGCAAGAAACTTTGAGGATTTATGTGATTTTACTAAGTAGCAGGAGCTAATGGTTTTTTCTTGATTTGTCTGCACTAACAGTTACAATATATGTACAATGACTCTGATATTGTTGGAGTAGGTCTTTGGCAGTTCGAAAGTTAAAATGGAGGGTGTTGATTGTACTTATATGCAAACTAAAGTAGAAAGGCTTGTGTTGGTGTAGACCCCACAAAAAAGTCAGAGTTAGTACTCCAATCTCATGTTTTAACACTAGAAAAAAAGACAAAAAGATATCCCAACCCTCTTCCAGGTCACAGTTCCTCACCTGTGAGTTTTCTCACTCTTTCATGTTGAAATTTGCTGACTCTATGCTAGTAACTATGAGAAAGTAATTTTGAGACAGTTGTAGAAATACTCCTTGTATCCCCCAACTGCATATAATGTATGTCTCTCTCTGAATAATTATATGTGTAAGCAAAAGGAAAATAGTCTTTGCATAAGTCATCTGTCTGGAAAAATATCTAATACAGATTTGTAGTTGGTTTTATTTCCCCTCTCCCTGCTCCCAGCTTTCACTGGGTACAGAAGTAATTAATACAGAACTTCTTGACAGCTGTGTGGCTGACAAAAATGGGACATAGTTTTCTGAAGAACATGGTACTACCATACTATGTGTAATCTATATAAAGACTCAAAGCCTTTATTGATTTGTCAGGCTTTCCCTGCAGGCAGTGTACGTTTGTCCGTTATGGGCATTAAGTCTTGCAGCAAAAGCTATTTTCCATTGGGTTTACATAGTAAGGTTATCTAGTAGGTTAGGACTTCATCTGAGGCTCATATTAAGATATATCATACTGTGTAAAAGATTAGTAGCTTCATTTCCCCCTTATTTTTTCCCAGTCTTCAAATTACTTGAGGTCTAAGAGCTTCATGAGTAAGATTGACAAGAACAGAACAGATTTGTAACAGTAAAGGGCCTAAATCATATCTTGGACCACAAGAAAGAAAAAGGGTAATAGCACATGCATCAAAACAAATGGGTAGGAACATAATCTACTGCAAGTAAGCTGCATTTGCTAAGTGTTGATGGCTGGGACTTCCTGAACAAAATCAACTTAAGTTGTAATTAAGAACAAGTAAAGACTATATGTCACCAAATCTCAAAGACAAAGTTAATTCTGAAACAAATACAGCAAACTGAAGAAATACATGCTGAGAACATGTATTACATAAAAGCTGTCAAATCTGTTGTAAAGTCATGCCATCGTTAACTTCAGTTACGTCAGTAGAAATATTCCATACTTGCAAATTCTGGTTAGGAGCATAGTTAGCTGCTAGCTTGTTTCTTGAGTAGATGTTAATTTGCATAGATGCATCTCTTATTTCTTATCAGTTGAGTACAGGCATAAATTATACTAGTAGAATCTGATTTTGTGTGACACAATGTTCCAAATGATAGACTTATTATTATTGCTTAAAGTAACAATAGTAGGCTTTTTGCCTCAATCACTTATTCCCAGTATTCATGTAGCTTCCAAGTATGTTTTAAATACTAATTAGCTACAGATATATCTTCAGATGTTGGAATATTATTCATGCAGAATTCCTGACATCATAAATGAACTTATAATTACCAGTAAGAAACTTCCCATCTGACTATCTGGCTCCTGTCTTTGAAGCACATGATAATGGCATGTTGCAAAACTTTGCCTGTGTTCCAGGCTTGCAGGGTGCTGCAGCTGTGGTCTTGAAGTTGCTTAACAAATAAGCTCTTGGTAGAGGCCCTTTGAAGCTGTTTCTGAATAGGTTCTGAACTGGGCCTGCTGAGGGTCCAGTAGTTTAGAACATCAGAGGAGATAATTCCTAGGCTGTGATTTACCCAGTGTTTCTCATCTAGAATGTAGGGCCGCTATTGCAAAAAACCAAGAACTTTCCTTGCACCACTGGGAGTCAGCACACAGAGCCTTACGTGGTTTCGTTTGATCCACACTTCCCTGTGGCAAAAAAGGGCATTCGAGAATAACCGAACAAGTACCAGCTTCTAGGTAATATACAGCTGATGCTTGTGCGTAAGGTAGTCTCCTCTCCTTGAAAAATTTGTAGGAAGAATGTATGGCAGTGACTTTACTATCCATAGAATTCTGGTTTTTTTTCTTTGGTGGAAAAGGGGTGGCTATTCTGAGTAATGGGGGAAAATACTGCATATAGGATGAACTGGGAGTAACATACAGCCCTGAGATATGAACCCAGGCTGAAAGGCATGTGGCCACTATGAAGCCTAGCCAGATAAAGGTGATTCCTGCAGAGTTTTTTAGTTCAGTCCTTGGCACTCTGGATTGTGGGAGAATTTATTGCTGTGGTACAGTGCTGAAAACAGTCCAGTGTTGTGCACTTGCACTTATTATACCAGGATAATTAGTCCCATGAGTTTAGATTCTTCTGCACAATACATACAAATGCCTCTGCATGAGTAAGTTTATGCTGAGTCAGGCTTGATTGCCTGGCACTACAGGTACTGAAGGATTTTAGCTTGAGCCCCCTGTAGAATAAGTGCACAAAATTGTTGATATGGAAGTTTCATATTGTTCTTCCTCTTTCATTTCTGAATGTAAAAATAATTAATTCACAGTAACTCAGTCCACTGCTATCGGTTGACTTCAGTATACACAAATTTCCAATAGCTGTGTAGCTGTAATTATTAGAAATAATGATGAATTTTTTGAACTGTATATGGGACTGTGTCTTTCAGTGGATCCATTTCTGAGATGGTGGGATTCCACAAGCGTAAATGGTTTGTAATGTTAGGCCCTCACTTTAAACATCAGATCTTTAAACATTAGAATTGAAGTTTCGAAAGATACTAGTGTCTCTGACTGAGTGTCTTAACTTGAGGTACGCTACAGATAACATTTTGAAAAATAAATGATCTGTAGTTTCTAGAAATGAGGGCTCTTTGAAGTAGTTAACATTGGTTGATTGAAAATTAAGGCACCGAAACAACTAGTTCTTCTTGAAAACTACAGTACAAGTTAAAAAAAAAAAATTAAACTATGTTTTTAACTTGTCATTGAATATCAAGACATTTGCGAGATGATTATCAAGTCTCTAACCAACTGGAATATTTTCCTTGATTTTAGGAGCCATCCTGATGTACATAGATTCAGTGTGGAGACAGTCCAGTGGTATCCTCATGACACTGGCATGTTTACATCCAGCTCATTTGATAAAACCTTGAAAATATGGGATACAAATACTTTACAAGTAAGAGAGAATTTCTTGCAGGTGTCTCTGTGTACATGTTATTCATTCCACATCTGCAGTTCACCCAGAGCTCTACAGGGCCAAGCATCCAGAAGGATGAAAACCATCCAGTTGCTGGAAGTCTGGGTGCAGCAGAGGGTGGCGTGGTTCTGGCATTCACACATACCTTGGTGTGTACCTGTCTGTTTCTGAAGACCTAAATGTCTAAATTGTGTGAGAACCTGGAATGAGGGCCTGGAACCCTTGGGACAATTCCTTTCTGCTTTTGCTGTGAACAAGAATACAGCTAGTTGAATTTATGCTGTGTAAAGTTGTCCACCAAGGGCTGGTCTGAAGTTTATCCCTGGGGATTGTTGAGTGTAATGGTTGTGTACAGCAACCATTATTTTTGGTAACCAAAGTCTAAGTACTGCTTTTGAAGGACTGGTGGTCTTGGCATTCAGGGTCATTAGGTCCAAAATTCTGCTGTTGTAAACACTACAAACATAGCTTCTAAAAAAAAAATGGTGGGGAATGAGAGAAACCGTTAAGAAAATGCTGACCAGTGTAACTGGCTTTAACAAAAGTAAACAGATTCTGTAGGATTTTAGGTTACTTTGACTAACTAATCCTCACATCTAATTGTTTAACTATGAATTCCAGAGTGCAGTTTATCCTGTTTCCAGTATGCATGTATTAATGGATTTACAGTGGTGCTATTTGAATTGTTGTTTCATGCACAGTGAAAGAATCTTAAAAATATAAGAGGTCTGTCATCCTAGGGACACAATAGAGAAAAAATTTTGACTTCTTTTTTTGTGAGATGTGAAGCTGTGTTTGTGGTTACTAAATCTTTTTCTAAATGCCAAGGTCAGTTCACTTTCGAGGTAATTCTGTGAGCATCACTTAAGAGACACAGTATTCACATGAAGGTTATTGGTGGACCAGTTCTGCTGCCTAATGGTATACTTGAAAACACAGACAACTTCGTTTTAAGGTTGTTTTTTTATATACAGTATTTTAGAATGAGACAACAAAATCAATTGTACCTGAAAGTAATTGTACTTATTAAAGGTGATGTTATATCTTATTAATTTTTAATATTCACAAGGGAACTAATAATTTTGTGGGTGCTTTGAGTTTTGGTTTTGTGGTTTGGTTTGGTTTTTGGTTTTTTTTTTTGAGGAATTGCAGGTAGTATGTGATGTTTGTGAATGACAAGGGCCTTCTAAATTAGTAGTCTAAGTGCCTCGTGTTGACTTTCTATCTCCATCTTATAACCTTGTTTGCTGTTTTTTCTTGCTAGCTTTTTAAATTTTTGATAATTTTTAAATAACTTCTATCCATGCTTATGATGAACCAGTTTTCTTGGTCTTTCTTTTGGGTCATCTCTGAGCTCTGCCATAGTTGTTATAGTGTTGGAAACAGACTGACTTAGTTTGCAGTGTTTGCGTGATCTGGTTTCTAACCAGGAGAGTTAATTTTAGTAGGTAAATAGTAATATTTGTATTAGTCTCACTTGTAGCTGTTACTTGAAAAATACTTAATAATGAGGGTTTACGTTCTGATAACATACTTGGCACTGTGATTAATTTAAATTTTTTTTTATCAGCCTGCAGAGGTATTTCGCTTTGAGGGAACAATCTATAGCCATCACATGTCTCCAGTTGCTACAAAGCATTGTTTAATAGCAGGTATGTATATGTTTTTAAGAAATGCCCTATGTATCTTGGGATTAAAGTAAAAAGCAAGTAATGCTCAGTAGGGGTTTTTCCCTCTCCTGTCTCAAATTTACATAATTTGAGTCTCATAAGACATAAGGTCATTGGTAAAATAAAATATTATCGATAGTCAGATGATGTTGATGAGAATATCACATTTGTTCTTCTGAAATAATGCATCAAATCAATTCTCCTTCTAGATTAAAAATTTCTAGCTATAATTAGGTTACCTTTCATTACATAAGTAAGCATGTGAAAGTTATTAGATCCACACATAGTGAATTATTTAAATAGGATGTGTGTGTTGCTTAAATGTACACAGTTTTAACTATGTTTAGCCAGAAAAAAAATTTAAAGAGGAGATATTTTTAATTTTTAAGTTCTATAAGTACTGTCCTGTTTACCCCCAGTTTCTAAATTTTGTTTGTTACATGGTAAATTTACTTGGACTAAATGTTAATGGAATGCATTGTTAATGGAATGCATTGCTCTGACTAAATGAACTGCTAAGCAGCTCACATTTTTCTTGTATTTTCTGGTCATTGCTAAGATTTTGTTGTTGTTTTCTCAAATGCTGGGGTATTTTTTTTTAGCTGTCTTTGTTTCTCTTGTTACAGTTGGTACCAAAAGCCCCAAAGTACAGCTCTGTGACTTGAAGTCTGGATCCTGTTCTCACATTCTGCAGGGTACTTTTTAGTCTGAAACATAAATGTTAAACAATAACTACTTTGAGTAAAACAAGTCCTGTAAAGAAACAGTGTATACAATGTATTCTTTGTAAGTAACATGACTAATTTATTTATGGCTGGTTGTGAAAGTTACACAGTGGCAAAAGGTTCTTCGGGATGCTAGTCTGGTGGTAATGAATAGGAAAATACAAATATTAATTAGTGAACAGTTATTACAGATGTTTAGGCATTTTCATGACCTAATCAATGATTACTATTTATTACATGGTTAAGTATAGGCATTGGTTGTGTGTTCATGGAAATTCAATATGGGGTGCTGGTTTTTTAAAAAATAAAACCAACCCCAAAGCAAAAAAGCCTTCACTATTTTTAACAAAATCTCCTGTGGAGGTGCTTGCATGGATTTGTTTAGAAGTTCCTGTATAACAGGCAAGATTCTACTTGCTATAGCAGGGTGGTATCTAATCCTTTGCATTTACCTAATTCAGTAAACGTAGGGGTTTATTGTTGCATAATCCACTGCTTTTTGCACTTAATGAGAATTTGCCCTTTTCTAATGTTTACTTTTTGGAGTATGAGTGTATATACACATGCTCAAGTGAAGGCAATTACAAGGTAAATCTTCATGTTTCAAACCAGCAGGGCAAAAGCCAGATCTGATCTAGAAACTGTAGAGAAGTGTTAGACACAGCAACGTGCAAATGCAGCTCTGTTGCTTCACTGTGCACCACAAGTCTAAAAGCAGCCTAGGTGCTTTTGTGTGATGCAGAGCTTAAGCCAGTAAGTCCTTCTGAACTGAATCAGCCACAATGGGTGTCTCAAAGTTCTGTTTCTAGAATTGAGAGCACCAGAGAGTGCAGACACAAAAATAGTTCTCTAGAGTATCAGCGTAGTTTCAGCAGGGCTTCTTAATTTTAGCACAAGAGTTAGTGCTTTCCTGGCACAAACTAGTTGTGTCTTTGTACACAGCCTGGTACCATTGGCTCAAGTGCAAGTGGGTGGTAGTGTTGATCTGCTTGAGGGGAGGAGGGCTCTGCAGAGAGACCTGGACAGGCTGGATTAATGGGCCAAGGCCAACTGTATGAGGTTCAACAAGGCCAAGTGCCGGGCCCTGCACTTGGGTCACAACAACCCCATGCAGCGCTACAGGCTTGGCGAAGAGTGGCTGGAAAGCTGCCTGGTGGAAAAGGACCTGGGGGTACTGGTTGACGGCCGGCTGAATATGAGCCAGCAGTGTGCCCAGATGGCCAAGAAGGCCAATGGCACCCTGGCCTGTATC